GGTATCTATTGAAATCAATATATATATATATTTTTTTTTTGAAAATGAAATCAAGATTGATTATAGGTTTAAAGAAGACAAGAAACTGATCATGTACAGGATAAAGTGCAGAATAATAAACCTATAATCAAATTTTGCGTAGGCTTTTTTTCATAAAGCACTTTATTTAAAAGTATAAAATTTATAATTTTGAATAATTTTAATTAATATTTTATTAATTTTTTATATAATAAAAGATCAAAAAATACTTACTGCTATCTTGCAGCACATTACAGAACTGACAAATGAAGCCTTATCCATAAAAATACTAAAGAAGATAATTTTGCAAGGAAATTTGGTAAAATAAAAAGGCGTTTCCAATCATAAATATGGAAGAAAGTTTCAAATTCACCTGTGTATAACGTGCATGTAGCTAAAAAGGCTGAATGGAAGAAAACAAATGCAAAAAAAAAAAAAAGAAAGAAAGAAAGAGAGAGAACAGTTTCAAATGCAATAAAATTTTAATCCTTTGTAGGGTTGTTAGTCGGCAATTATTACACCCTAAAATTAAACAAATCGGATAAAATTTTGATTTAAAAAGCTACTCTACCAGATTATTGCGGCCATTAGATATTTACCATTGCTCAAGGTCTACACTAACTGGAGCAAAACGGAAGCTACATCTATGCTTACTTTTACTCTAGACAATGCTATTATTAATTTTCCCTTCAAACTTGTTAGGTACTGAAATTGTTAATTGAGTTAAAGTTGGTCTCAAATGCTGATTATTTTGTAATTTATGATTAATATGACAGAGTTACTGATTTATTTGAAGTTTTGATTTGTTGACAAATTGAGGCAAGTTATACAGAAAGAAAATAAATCATTGAGTTTTTGTTCACCCATTAAAAAATTTATAAGATTCATTCTCAAAAAGTTCGATGAAGTAACACACCTGGCCTTCCATGACGAATGGAAATTGGTGTGTCCTCAGCCTATACGGTTGGGTTCAATCCCCTTCTTCTATCCCAAAAATTACCCTTGTAAAAAAAAGAGAGAAAGTTCGATGAAGTATTAGCATGGTAAGATTGATTATTAGTAACATGGTAATAAGGAATAGGGGGAGTGAAAAATCAATCACGCTAATTATATATTCATGGAGTGAAGTGAATGGTGTTTGTTATTTACAGTTTCGGAATTTTCTTCTCCAATCCAATGTCATTAGCCGGTATTTCCACCATATCAACCAACTACTCCAATTCTTGACGATACTTGGGAAGAATCCAACTTCTTGTGTTCTTGAGACCACACGTATATTTGGAGATTAGTCTATCAATTTCAATGTTCCCACTATAGACCATTCATAGAGGCGACTAGCACTGAGCAGTTACTTTCAGAAAAACGTTCTCCCCATGCTAGATCATGAATCGATTTCACTCTGTTCTACCATGGAATGTGAACGAACCCCTCCAAAAAAGGGGGACCTCCGGATGTACTATTTTGCTGATCACTTCACGGCAGCTCTAATTCCTTTTCTCTTTGGTTCCCATCAACCATTCCTACAGATACGACTCTGATTTAACTTTATCCTTACGGACTTATCTATAGTCTCTTCTCATACTTTATCTGTTGATGATTCTTTAATCTTGTGTTTATTTGATTGGATTTTGCTAATTATCAATACTTGATCAGATGATTCAGCAGCTTGTGCCTATTATCTTATTTTGGTGCCCATCAATTGACAGTTGAAATGCCCAACAAATTTTCTGAGCCGAATCTGCGTATATAATTCCATGTTAGTTTTACTTAATCCTTCTGTTCCTCTATTTACCCTCTCTGTCTTTATTTATTTAACTTTTTAGGATGACTCATCTATCTTTCAATTCTAGTGTTCCAACTAGAATCATTCATGCAGGCCAACAACTCTGACAAGTTACTCTCCCGTGCAATTATACAAAGTCGTGAATTGATCGCTCCGTTCCACCATGTGATTGTGGACCAATAACTCCAAATTCTGATAAGACCAGACTGGAAAGAAATGAATGCGTCAGGATCAAAATTCAATGCAGCACTATATAACTTTGTTTGAGCGCGGGGCACTCAGCTTTTATTTCTCCTCTTTGGCACCCATCAACTGTTTTCTGTACGGATACTGACGAGCCAAGAATGATTGGTGAAACCGTGAAAGCCAGTTTTATTA